TATATCTCCGTATCACATGTTATCACATATCACATGCTCTTTCTTGCAGCCATGCTTTGTGAAGGCAGATTGCTGATCATGACCTACTGTGAATTTGAAGAGCTGGACTCCCTTCCTTCTAAGCCAGCTTTCCAGAATTCTTATGGGTCACAGAAAGCAGCTGCTGCCCTCATACCAGGTTCCACCAGACATGCTCCGCTTGTTCATCACAATTCCCCGGAGCAGATAACTACAGACAACCGAAGGGCTTCAGCTGAGTTGTACATTTCTCCTTTGCAGTCCTTAAATCTTCAGAGAGCTCATCTAGGCAGGCAGATCTCTCGAGAGATAGAGATCCCGGCCCAAGCTCACTCAGGTGGCGATACCCCTTTCTTGGTTCCCTCGTTCTGTCAGAGCTTTTGCAAAAACTACAGTGACCTTCATATTGCAGGTGACCAAGTGCTGCCTCTCTCAGCTAATAATTGCGAGCTGAGGGTTTGTGCCAATGTACCGGATGTCGGTCCCTTTATCCAGTCTTGTGATGTGCCCCCAGCTGTGGAAGATTCTCTCCAAGGACACGAAGCTCGGGATGGGATGCTGTTTCCACTGAGGGGAGGTTCGAATCGGTGGAGACTGGGGAGCGGCCGTGATCGGAGCTTTTTGCTCCAGGAGCATGAAGGTCCATTTTCCAACTCCCTTCTGAATCACTACCTGGAGCAAAAACTCCTGGATCTATATCAGCAATACATGATGGAGAATATGGCAAGAGAAGGAGCCCCTGGTTCAGACTCTGACGCAAGTGCCATTTGCCCTTTACTGGGCTCAGAGCTGGTCCTCACCAGCCTGGACCAAATCACTTTGCAGCTCAGCCGGGAGGGCAACATGGAGGCCGGCTTGGCCAAGGACATGGTCCTGAGCTGCTTCCTGCGAGTCGCTGGTGATATGCAGTCAAGTGAGATCAGTACTCCCTTTCTGCAGATTTCTAATGAGGCATCCAGGGAGCAACTCACAGAGAGTAATGAGTGACCCCACTGTCAAGGAACTCCTTCATTCAATACTGCCTTTCATTTCAGTACAACACTGAAAAAACCCAGGATTGGACTGATAACCACATTTTTATTTTATTAGCTCTTGAGAAGATGTTAAATGAGAGTTCTATGTGGGATTATGCAGTAATTACCTGGAAAATGTGCCGTATTTATGCATCCTAAATTGAATTTGCAGTGATGACACTGGGATCTGTGTTTACCTGTCTTTAGTGCAGCTTTAACTTTCTAAAGAAAATAAAAACAGGAACTGAAAACTGAAACAGCTGCTTCCCGTTTTTCAAAAGAACATCGATGGTCTAGCAGAACAACATGAAATCAAAAACAGCATGCTGCCTCATTATGTATTATGTGCAGCCACATCTAAGATCATTTTGCATGCCTAATGATCACTGATTAATTAGATTTGACTTTTTTTTTTCACGAAGGAAACAAGGCTGTTTATAATGAAACTAGGAGGGAAGACACTGAATTTGCAACAAATATCCAAAAGTGCAGCCTCAAAATGCCCTTCGATCAACACGCTGTCATTCTAGGCTTCACACAGCAACTTCATCGGCTCTGTTACCTAAAAATGTAGCTGTAACCAAGTGCTGCATGAGTCGTTTGTTACCCCAGTCTCCCCATCAGGACTGCAGATGTAAAGAATTTGATTTCATGATGTCTGAGCAGCACATGAAAAGAGAATACATGCTTTAACGAAACAGATTTTCTATTAATTCAAAAATCATCATCCAGGAGTGTAATTGCTCCTTAAGAATGAAAAGAAAACTCCACGAGCTGACTATTTCCCCCTCCTCCACTCTTCCTTGAACTCAGCTGTATGATGAGGACAAAGATGAATCAAGACTGCTGAAAATCATTGAAAGAAAACAAAGGCACTTTTGTACATCTCATGTCATTTATTCTCTTGTCTTGCAGATCACCTTTCCCCTTACTGACTCATCCACAGATTAATATCCCACCCTTGATGAAATTACTTATATTATAATGTGACTTATGAATGCTCCCTCTCTCTCTATGTGTCATTTTATGTGTTATGTAGCCAATTAGAGACATTTAATAACCCCTAAGGACTCTAATTAGTTTATATAATTGTCCTTTTGATCGTCTGACTCTCTGATGTTAGCATGAAATACTATAGATCATGGTTTTGGAGGCTACTCTGAAATCCATTTAAATGATGACTTTAGGGGGGTCGGATTCTTGCCTCCTTAAGTAATTAGAGAGAGGATCCCTCTAAAAATCAGTCACCTGAAGCACGATTCGGAGTTCCTCTGTGAGCTGTAGAAAAAGGCTCTGACCGTCTAACTGCCCGCTGTTCTGACCTACTCCCACAAACCTTTCTGATCTTCTGCAAACCCATTCACAGCCAGACCCAGCGCTTCATCCTCCATCCCCGCCGCACTGCCGTTTACTGATAACCTGTTGTTTAACCTCGGACTTCTCTTCACCTGCTCAAATAGATGTTATCCAGTATCCTCGGTTACTGGCTTCTTTCAGGAAAAAGTTGTTTACATCTCTGAGAAATCATACTTGGATTTTTTTTTATAGCTCAGTCCTTTAGGTCATTCCTCTTTTATCATGTTTCCACGCCTCAGTGTCTCTCGCTTATTATGTTTTATTTTAAATGAGCTGTTATTGTAGCTGAATGTAGTTATAGTTTCTCATCTTGTTGCGTGCTCATCACTCCTTGCCAGTGCACGGTGGAATCATAAGTAATCGTCCGCTGAGAGCCTACAGGTGGGAGCTGGGGTGTTAACAGTAGGTTTGATTTGTTGGAGGGAGAGATTGGAAAATGGGAGAGTTTGTTTGGAATATGATGTGAGGAGAGTGACACATGTTGCCGTATGTATGCAGTTCAGCTCGAGCTGACTTGAATTAACTCACGGGTTTGGCTCCATTTGTGCTGTTTTTGAGTTACAGCTACTCTTTTGTTGACTTCTCAGTCTTTGAGTTGAATAGTTTGCTGTCTTATTAATGGATAACTTTTCCCTAAACTTACTTCTGAAATTCTCCTTGAGAGAAAATCTGAGAAGAACGGGAGTCATAAAGCGCTGATAATCTTATCTAACTGTCTGGCTGAATCAATGGTAGAGCAAGGTTGTGTAGGAGCTTTACATATTTATTTCTAAAGCTTCTTTAATTCAGGGTGGTTTAATAAAGTCATGATGTGAGGTTAAAGTTCCCCTTGACTTAAATCTGTGCCCATGTATTTTACTCAGATGTGCTTTTTTGCTCATTTTTATTCCTTTAACTTTCACACTTTGCTGGCTGAAAGTCAGTAAGCGATCAAAAATTGATATCTGGTGTAAGAAATTGTTGCCCTTAAAAAGCAACAGTTCTTTGAGGTGGACATTGAAAGAACTGGATAATTGGCAGGTAGGTTGTTCTCTTCACCTTGGGGTACTTGTACACAGTTTTTGTCGATATCTGCCCTCATGTAATCCCAGACTAAGTCATGATCACGACGCTATGAGGGGCATATTCTTTTGTCAGGGGCACATCCTTCTTTGGAGGGGTACTCGAGCCTGTGAGGGTTTAGCTGAGGGTTTGTTTTTTTTTATATGGCTGTAACTGTATTTTTTTTGGAGTTGTTGTCATGTTGCAGAAAGAACTTGAAGGCTTTTTGGACATTTATCTGTTTGCTCAACTTAAAATGATGTTTGAAACCACACATGGGAATGCTTATGATCATATTTAGTTTGAAAACCAAATGTTATCAAGTATTAATTTCTTGTGCACTATTCATATAATGTGAATTTCTGCATGTTTGGAGTATCGAGTGTTTCCCATGCATCTAAGCAGTATATTTCAAAGCCCAGGACAATTGTTTAAATTCTGAAATTAAACAAATTGGGTTTCATGATATAGCTCCAGGCATTCAAATCTTTATTTATTTTCTTACAAAAAAAGAGCTTCACTGATTTTCTTGTAAGTCTTGCAGTTTGATAATCAGTCACAAGGGGGAAGCATTGCCACCTAACTTAATCCTCATGGCTTTGCCCCTCTATACCTTTTATTCCCTCTTTTCACCTCCTCCTTACAGTCCGTGTCTATCCAGCCAGTTAATGTCCTCTATCTTGTGCACCCTTTTACTCTGACTCTATGATGTCATCAGGACTGGGGTAAATCTGTTCAGATAAGGATAAGCATATCTACACCACAAGATTTATTTTTGGAAAATATTGCACATGTATAATTTTTAGCAGGGCTGGACAATGTTTTTGCACATTCTTTTCACCCTTTTTTTCTCCACTTTCAAAGACCAGCGGCTCCAGTGTAGCCATGGCCTTCTGATCCAGTGTTTGATCAACTTCCTTGTTTCCTTTCCAAACAGAAAGCCACAGGAGGAAAATGTGTTTACCGAGCTGAGTGCCGCAGTCGGAGCCCTGTGAAGTCTCAAGGCCAGAGAGACACATGTTTGGTATTTCTGCTTCTATCTGGACTGAACATTCCAGGTACATGTTAAAGGAACAAAGTTCTTACAGACCTAAACACAAACGCTCACATATAAATATGATTCACCCAATGCCAAGCCCGGCAGCGTGAGCACATTCAAATAAACTAATTTCCACAGACCTTGGAGGAAAAAAAAGAAGAAAAACAGACCTGTTGTTCCAGCAGAGGTTATAAGAATTGTTTGAAGGGCTGAAGGTAACACCACATAAAGCAGTATCTCACAGTCTGTTTACCTAGAGACCCTCAAATTCACCGTTCACACAAATTATGCACGCTATTTACATTTTCTTCTCAGCAGATTTATAATTTACAGATTTTATTTTACTCGTTTGGTTTCAAATGCTTTACAAGTAGAAGGACAAAGAGTTCAAAAAAAATTGCTATGGGGAGTTTTTTTTTCTTTAAGGGAAGGAATGGTTTTTGGAGAAAACATGAATAAAGAAGACAGACGGAGAGTGGTGAAAACACACACACACATGCACGCACATGCACTTCTCTCATGGCCTAGCAATGAAACTAACAGGGAGGTTGAAGTGTTGGAGTGTCTTTCAGAGGTTCATAAAGTAATTTCCTTGTCACAAAGAGCTTTTAACATGGAGGGCAGTGGAGGCAAGGCCATGGGATTTTATATCAAAACCAAGGTCCCGGATACACTCTCACTATTGTGGCTTTAAAGCCTTTCGCACTCTGTGGCTTCCCTTTATTTAAAAAGCTTTTACTATGCGGCCTTGTTAATTGGAACAGCCACGTATGTTTACATTTCTTTTTGTGACTTTTCATAATTTGTTAGCGCCTACTAAAAGTCAAGATCTTTTGGGTTCTTCAAAGATTTACACACAGACTCACATGCATGCAGGAAAACACGTAAACGCACACACAAGTGGAAGCATTTCAGACTACAGCTGGTGTATTGAAGCACTTAATTCGATTAACATTTGTTCAGAAGCTCAACTTCGCTTGAGCGATTGCCTTTTTTTTTTCTTAGATTATATTCAGTGGATTGACCTAATGAACAAGAGGCAGCATGCAGGAACATTAAATGGCAGCCCTGCTCTGTAACTGTCTGATTGACACTGGGAGATATACGTGGTGGAACGGGAGAACACACATTTCCTGGTCGGTTAGCTGCTCAAGGCTGCAGAGAGCCCGCAGTGAAGCGGGTGACCTTGGTTAAGCTGGAGCAGACAGAGAGCGACCTTGAGAGACAGCGGTGCAGCAGGATCTGGCTCTCAAAGAGCTGGAAAACATAATGCGTTCATGTTTGAGTATATATCACAGAACTCAGAATGTGGACAGCATGTGGCTCTGAAAACAGATTTCCCCCACACGCTGTCCTTTACTGGATAGCTTATTATGTATTTCTGATTTCCGAGACATAACATTCATTTGTGGACCCGATCCTTGTTTTTCATCTTTAGATTCCTCAATTTCACAGATAGAGTATACCTCCAAAAACACTTTGAAGCTATAGCTATAGCTTCAAAGTGTTCTCCACTCGTCAAAGCACTACTGTGTTCTCATGTGTTTGTCTTTGATTACGACTTTGATCACTGTCAGTGACAGCACGCGCACACACTGACCTGTCCATCTGGAGATTTTGATGAACATTTTCTTTCACCCCTTCTTATATCATCTCTGTTGTTATCAGTTTGTGCATCCTTTGTGTACTTGTTTGTCAGATGGTTTAGCTTACAGAGCAAAAAATCAACAGTGTCTTTTTATTATCTATCCTTCCACACAAGTCCAGTAACATTTGACTTTAATGAAATGGGGAAAAAAGTATACATAATTTCA